TAAGCACTGTGAGAAAACAAGAAAATGAGGAAAGCACATTGGGAAACAAGATACCAAACTTTGACCTCTTGTGGCTTCTAGATGAAGCCAAAAGCCCTTGGATGGGAAGTTTGGATTCCACTGAGCACGAATCATGGAAAGATATGCAACACTACTGTTTTACTCATCTAACTCTTTTCAAAGAATTGAATGCCATAGCACTGCCCACACAAGCTAACCAAAACCTTGAGTACACTACACTGGTTTGTGAGTGCAAAACCCTAATGGGTCTGGAGGGATCTGAGTTTATCCCAATACTGCTAAGCCAAGGCCCACATCAGGGAACAACCCAAAGCATCCCACAGATTATACAAGTGGGATTCATGACTCATTCATGACTATTCATGATTAGTGAATATTTAACAGCCATTTTCAGGACACTTCCCAAGAAACTTGGTCCCTATCCAGCTAATATGGAACATTCACTATGTATTTGTTGAGCCACATTATATGTCAGGTAGAAAACAAGTACAAAGCAGCCGTTCCAAACTCAGCTAGCCTCTTCTCCCGTTTCTTGCTAGGTGTGGCATGTTGGCAAGCTGTTCTGGCTCTCTAAGCTTCAGTTTCCTCATGAATTAAGTGGGCCTGATGGCACTTACTTCCTAGTCCTGTTTGAGTTATTCCCTTGTACAACATAAGCATCCAATGAATGTCATTCCTCTGAGAGGTCCTGGCTTAGTGCCCTCCTCACACTCCATCAGCTCCCTCCATTATTCACTCTGCACCTCCAATTTTTCTTTTGTAGCACCTTCTAGTTTCTCACTACAATTACTTTCTAGCTTGATGATATGATGAACATCTCCTCCTCTCTTCCACTAGACAGAGACATTCTGATTTGTTTAGACACTCAACACCCAGAATAGTAGCATATGACAGGTGCTCAATAACTGTTCAACTAATAAATCACACCAAAAAAATGAACATAATACAAAGATGAAAGAGCATTATCTTTCACCAAGGAGGTCACAGGTTAATGAAGTAGTTATTAATTCTAGCTGCTAGTCAAACTCAGTCAATCTCAATACTTGATCCCACTCTGTAACAACTCCAGGAGAGTGGGCTGAAGGGGTATCTGCCCAGTTTGTTTTAAATATTTTTATTATCTTTAAGTAGTTGTCTAAAGGACTTGCCATTCACCAAAGCAGTTTACGAATATAGTGCATCTTGATCAATGTCACCCCTTTCAACATTTTCACCCACCCCTTCCAACCCAGTCCTTCCCTCACTTAACTTCAGGTTATATATTTGCAATTTATGAAAGCAGTTTATGTGTATAATAAATTTTGAGCTGTGTCCCTAGTTCAACATCTTAACCCTAGCTTCAACCCACCCCTTGACTTGTATTTCTCAATTCTGTGGTATATGCAATGAATTCTTGCCTGCATTCTCCCCTCTTCCCCCTTCATTCTTCTATTCCTCTCCTCTTGGTTCCCTCTTGCAAGCACCCATTTCCTGGTACTTATTTTGTTGGGCTCTGACTTAGTTTTTTGTTTTTGTTTTTTGCCAGTCCAGGGCTTGAACTCAGGGTTTGGGCACTGTCCCTGAGCTTCTTTTGCTCAAGGCTAGCACTCTACCACTTGAACCACAGCCCTACTTCCAGCTTCTTATGTTTGTTTTTTTTTTTTGGTCCGGTCATGGGTCTTGAACTCTGGGCCTGGACACTGTCCCTCAGCTCTTCAGCTCAAGGCTAGCACTCTACCACTTGAGCCCAGCGCCACGTCCGGCTTTTTTTTTTTTTTTTTTTTGCTTATGTGGTGCTGAGGAATTGAACCCAGGGCCTCAGGTATGCAAGGCAAACGCTCTACCACTGAGCCACCTTCCCAGCCCCCCAGCTTCTTATGTTTTATGTGGTACTGAGGAATCGAACCCAGGGCATTCTCTGTAGAGTCTATTATACTTGTTAATTCATTTGTTACCCCTTGCTTATCACCCAGTGGTTTACTTGTAGAACTACAGGGACATTCTTGCTACCACAAATGAGGGAAACCATGCAACCTGTGTTTCTCTGGGGATCTCTTACTTTGCTTAATACAATTTTTCCAAGTTTTTCCATTTCCTTATAAATAGTACAGTACCAATCTTTCTGATGGATGAGTTTAATTCCATTGTTTATATATACCACATTTTCTTGATCCATCTGTCCACTGAGGGGAATCTGGGCTGATTCCTTATCTTGGCTATGGATAATTGTGCTGTAATGAACATGGTTGTACTGGTAGCTTTAGTGTGACATTGACTGTGCTCTCTTAGATAAATGCCCAGGAGTGGAACTGCTGGACCATAGGGTAAGCTTCTGTGTTTATAGTCTTTTGAGGAACCTCCATACCGCTTTCCAAAGTGGTTAAACAAGACAACATGTATTGTCTTTTGTTTGCATGATTTTTTTTTGTTTTTTTAAAGAGTACTCCTATCATCATAAATTATATAGGAAGGTGAGTTTGGAAAGATCACAGTTCCAGGCCAGTCTGGACAGAAAAGTCTGAGAGTCTAAATTAAGGGAAACATGCTGGGTTCAATAGCACACATCTATATTCCTAGCTATGACATAAAGCCTAATGTAGGACTGTGCTCTAGCTCTAGGTGTGTACATGAGCAGAAAGTGAGACCCTATCTTAAGAATAACCAGTGAAAAGAAGGGCTTAAAGATGTGGTACACTTGAAAGAAACACATGGAGCCTAGCACAGTAAGTATGGTAGTACATGTTGGGGAAGTCTTCCTCTCTGTGGCAAACAAGCAAGGATCTTTAAACTGTCTATAACACAGATTGCTCCAGTGTCATCAATTAAAACAAAAGTTACTCATGCCATGTTTCCTATCTACTTGTTATTAAGCACCTATTATAAGGCATATATAAGGGGCTTCAGTTTGTGCATAAAATACCTCAAACTTTCATATTTAAATAATTGAGTATTTTCCATTTTCTTATTAAACTTGAGGAAATTGATGATTCATGGAAATTATTTACTTGACATTAAGAACTATGACAAACCCAGCACTTAAAAAAAACCTACAACTTAAGTTTCTTTTTCTAAAAGTATTGCAGTACTCTACTGTATTTATTTATAAATCTAATTTGTTTTTCCAAAGTCCAATATAAAGGCTCCTGTGAAGCTCCTTGTTTCTAAATTATCAATATGTTTTAATTGGTATACAACACACATATTTAACAGGGTATGATGCTAACTGTAGCATTTGACAAATGATCATCAAACAAACTTGACCATGTAACCATCACCCATGTCAGGAAAAAAAAAGGAAACACAGCATAAGCCCCTCAAAAGCTTTCTGTGGCACTTTGTACTTATTTACTCCACCTATATCTGCAAAGAGCTAGTATCTAAAGGAATTTTTGAGGTTATTTGTTTATGTTGTCTTCCTAGGGGAGCAAAGGGGGAAATAGGAATGGAGGGGGCACAAGAATGGAGGGAGGAAAGGTGAACAAATACAGTCGTTGTATTCAATATACTGTATGTAAAAAACGAACTATGAAACATGTGGACAGGGATGGGAAGGGGAAAATGTAGCAAAGCAAAGGAAAGGCTGACACTGTCCAAGAAACACTATACTCATTACTGGACTTACGGAATTGTAACCCCTTTGTACAACGCCTTAAAATTAGCAATAAAATGTAAAATAAATTAAAAAATAATAATGTGAAGCAAAAGCATAAATTAGGTATATGATTAAGGCCAAACTTACAACATGTGGTCACTGTATAACTATCATTGTCTACCTCAAGTAGATGTTAGTATTTTATTTTTTCTGAAAATAAAGAAATCAGAAAATAGTATCAAGTATCAACAAAATGTGTTGATAATTAATATTCTAGAATTTCTTGAGGCAAGGTGAGGGTCAAAGAAGATAAGAGACTATTATTCTTTCATGTAGGCTGGTAATTCCTAGCTTTGATGGACAAGGGGCTGGTAGTGGGGTAATAAAGCATCTGTGGGTTAAGTTTTGCTTGTTGGAGTTCCTTCCAACTCCATACTTCTAGAATAAATTAAGATAATCGAGTATTTACTGACCACCATAATGTGGTAGGCCCTTTATATCTAATAGCTCATTAAATCCCTTCAACAATTCTGTAATGCTACCATCTTCATTTTACAGATGAGGAAAAAGAGATTAAAGAAAGTAACTAGTTCAAGGTTATACTCTGAGTGTGTTAGCAAGGATGAAGACACAAATCTGCCCAACTCCTACTCTTTCCCTTACAGTCTACTGCTTTCCCCTCCCCAGGGAAGAATAAGCTTCAAGAAATGATTTCTTAGAGAAATGGCCTCTGGCAGGTGAGCTGTAACTGCAAAAATGACAAATAGGTATGAGCTAGATACCTTGAAACATATTTTGTTTCCAAGTTTCTCCTTCCCTATGGGGCTGGAGCCTACCTTTTCCCCTTGGTTGTTTACCTTAATTTGATTAGTTTCTTCTTATTCACTGTCAAAATACTTTTGTCTCTAAGCAGACAAATCACTCATCCAAAACTTAAAACACTTAGTTACAGAAGTTATGTGGCATCTTCTAGGACTAAAGAAAAGGTACTAGTGGACAAATCTGTGGATGTCCAAATTTAGCCTTGACCTTCTTCTAAATGCCACAAGGGCCATGGTCAGTACTGATTATCAAATACAGGCAGGAAAAGAAGGACAAGATTTCCCTGTGCTTAACTGAGACCGCTGAGCCCCAGGATGACCAACCACACAGAGTTATTCAATATTTTATGTCATCTGTGATAAGATTGTCTAAGCATTCTGTTAAATTCCTAAAGGCTTAATAGAAATGCATGCAACTCATGGTTTTCTTCTTTTTGCTGTACAAATGCTGACAGGTTTTAGCTAAGCATAGGAGGGAAAAAAGAGAAGCACTAAATTTCTTTTACCTCATCAAGTCTTTTATAAACAACTTAACAAATAACAGAGACAACTCTGAAGACATGTTATCTGATTTGGTAACTGCTTACCTTGGCCAGAATTATATATTGCTTTGACAGATTTCTTCACTTTCTGTAAGGCTGTTCTATCTTGGTCTAGAGCCTAAAAGAGAAAACAAAAGGAGGAAAAAATGATGTTGGAAAATTTGGAACATTTCTAAAAAAAAAGTAAGTAAAACATTCACAACTGTATTTGTTTTGCTGAGCACCAAAGCAAGTAGCAAACTGATAAATTAACAATGAACCATTTCAGAGACCAGTGTCCAGGCTTTGAATAACTGTGTTTATGAATAGATACGCAAACAGTAGACAAGGCTCAGTTTATGTGAAATGAATCACATGGCAGCTTTTTAGTAAACATGAAAAGAAAGCCCAAGACGTGTATGAAATCCGAAGACTTCCTTCTCTCACAAGTTTATACAGTTTGGTAGGGAGAAGGGTTGATTTAAAATAAGAAAGTATGAGGCTCAAGGAACAAACACATCTATCATCTATTGATCATTTCAGCCAGGAAAAATATATTTAGTTGAGTTTAATAAGTAGAACTAACCTTTTCTATAATGCTTTAAATTTGAGAATTTCAGTGATAAAAATCTATTTTGTACACTACTTAACAGATAATAAAGACACTTGCAATGTAGCTGGGGCTGGCCTTTGACGTGTAATTTTCTTGCCTCACCTTCCTAAGTGTTGGGATTACAGTGTGTGCCAACAAACACAGTCACTGGTGATACTGTTACACTGTGTATTTTAACTGTGATTTAGGTGCCACTTTCTTTTGGCTTCTTTTCTTGAGACACCAGGTGGGTACGTGGTCCCGTGTTGGGATGCAGATCTTTTTTCCTGAGATTTCTAGGCTCCGGAAGAAGTAGGTCCACATTCCCAGTGGCTCTAACTACTTCTAACTTATTTCCAAGGAAGTAAAAAAGATCTACTTTCAGTTCATCTATCAGTTCAGCTTGGATGAGTAATAACCACATAAAGATAGGGCTACTCAGACAGAAATTAATGTATGGGCTTTACTGTCTGTGCATCTTTGGAGTTAATGACTCCAAATGAACAAAGAAACATGGAACATTTCAGTTACAGTATTTTACAAGATCATCTCACAACATCCTTTTTGGGGGTGCTATGGAGGCAAACTCTCGGACTTGATAGTGTTTTCTCAACTCATGCATAAACTAACTGATAGGGTGTAATTTACATACTTAACAACAACAGGTCTAGAGTTTGGCCAGTGGTGAAAGGAAAACAAATGAAAGACATTTCTAAGAGTCCCACAGCTTAGAGAGAGGATATTGTCCTTCAATCAAATAAGGTTCCCTCTAGAAATAATGTCTAAATGTGCCATTATAAGTTCCATTACAAGTGCCAGACAACTGTAATAACTTCCTATAACATGGCATATATGTAATATTAGAAAAGGTCTAAGAGAAAAATGGCACATATGTAGGCTATACAATGGTATTCTTCAAACCACTACAAGTATGATAAATTACACAGCTGCATTTACTCACACTTGAAGTTGATCATGTCAAAAGGTAAGGGGATAGAGAATCAACAAATGCCTGGAGAATAATGCTCATCCCTAGTAACAGAGTAAGTAGTAGCTGACTTGTTTTGAATTTGACAATACAGGAGCTTCACATCCTACGTGTAACTAACTAAACAGTATGGATTTTAACCTAGGAGAGTATTTCCAACCCTAATATGGAGATGTTTTATTTCACACACAGCCCCAACAAGTTTGCTCATTTGAATTCTAGGCACAAAAAACAGTCAGCTCAAAGCACTAGCTTTGAGCTAAAGAGCTGAGGGACAGCACCCAGGTCCAGAGTTCAAGCCCCACAACTGACCAAAAACACTAAGAAGAAACCAGCACACACACCCCCAACCCCCCGCACAAGTGTAATGTGGAGAACTAGTAGCTAGAAGGATTCAGAAAAATTATAGGAAAGCCGGGTGCCGGTGGCTCACGCCTGTAATCCTACTCAAGAGTATGAGATCTGAGGATCGCAGTTCAAAGCCAACTCAGGTATGAAAGTCCGTGAGACTCTTATCTCCAATTAACCGCTCAGAAAACTGGAAGTGGTGCTGTGGCTCAAGTGGTAGAGCACTATCTTTGAGCTGAAGAGCTGAGGGACAGCACCCAGGTCCAGAGTTCAAGTCCCACAACCGACCAAAAAAAAAGAAGAAGAAGAAAAAAGAAAAATCATACAAGTGGGATATAAGGATGAAATATTCTTTGAGCTTATGCCACTGAGGGCAGGATGTGAAACCTTTCCCCCAGACCAAGTAGTATCCCTTAATCACAGCAGTGTAGGAACTGCTAGTCTGAGACATGCACTCAAATCTGGCCACTCCACTCCTAGCTTGGGGCAACTGTACTAGCTGAGTCCTCTGCCTGAACTCTCTTTCCCAAGCCCATAGATGATTGGCTCTTTTCTTCTTACATGGGCCTCACATTAAAGGCTTTTTTTTTTTCCTGAGAGGCTTTTAACAGACATCCTAAAACTGTGTATCCTTGGGCCAACGAAAGTTCCTTTCTAACACACATCATATGGTATTTTCCAAAGTCCTACTACATCCTGAAATGATTGATTGTGATTTATTTACTTTTATCGTATTTATCTTCTTCACTAGAAGAATGAAGTTTTTAAGAAGGCAGGGGGCTGGATAACCTCACAAATGCATTATGACATGAAACCTAAGTGATGTTATAAATGAACAAATACACGAACAATAAAGTAACTACAGAATCCTAAAGGTAAGTGGAAATGGAGAGAAATCACAGCTGCCTTTCAGGGAGGCCATCTCCTCGAACCATCTCTACATTAATGTGCCTACAGAAGTGGCTAGTACAAAGCCCTGCACAGATCAGATGCTCAAAACCAGCAAGCAGGGCTGCACAGGCAGGTCATTATAGAGTGCTTGCCTACCATGTGTGAGAACTTGAGCACAGTCCTCCAAAGAGAGAAACAAAAAAGCAAACAATAACTGTCCTTAAGGAGGCTGGCTCTAAGAGTGAAAAACCTGAAACCTAGGATTCCTATTTCTTTAATGAACAGTTACTTGCTTGGAGAAAGTGGAAAAGGGAGAGAAAGAAAGAGGAAGGGAAGAAGGAGGGAAGGGGAAGAAAGGGTGAAAATATTCTTCTGTTTACGTTGCTTTTTGAGAGATCATTAAAAATTATGCATATTGAGTATAGACACATGCATGTGCTCTGTTGGGGATTGAACCCAAGGCCTTGCACATGCCAAGTATAAATTACAGTAAAGAAAACATTTTCTAATATGGGTTATTCTTTTGCTAGGGAAGACAATTTTGGCTGAATTTTAGTTCATGTTTCTTGTTGGACAAGCCTGAGATCTGGGGGAGGGAGGGAGGACTGAGTAGTGTGTTTAGGCTTCAGGACTGATTGCCTGATTTTACTCACAGAAAGGCCTCAAGGACCAAAGAGTGGCAAGAGCGGCCTTACAGCAATTCTATAAATTATCTACAGTGAGGCCTCAAATATAACAGAGATGTTATCTTTGTTAGTTTCACAATTACTATGAGTTGAATGAGGTTGCTCCATCAGGGGAAAATGATTCACCTAAAATAAAACTTGATTTGCATAACACAGCAAAAAATGGAAAGTTGATGTCATATACAAATAAAAGATTTAAGTTGTTTATGGGTACCTCTGTAAACTATAAAAAGTATTATGAACACTCAAGCATCTGCTGCACACACAGAGACTGCAGCCACATACATTTAATACCTTCTCTTGTACCTATTGCTGAATGGGGTAGAATGTGACTCCTGGACAGTAAAGATTTGTAGATGAAATGGGATTAGGATCCCATGGGTCCTAATTTACATTTAGGTCTCATGACAAAGATTCAATGTACCATTTTCAGTAATACATCTGGAATGACTCTAAGGATCTAACACATACAAATAAAGTTGTCACCAAGTTATCAAGTTTCTAAGCCTAAGAAAGGTATTACATAAAACTGTAACTGATTAAATTCTGCTTTCTCATGTAGATAAACATAAATTACTTATCATTTACACCTCTGAAGGCAGAGATGATGGGAGGCCCAGAATAGGGTTTAACAGATCAGTTAAGTGATTTTCTAAGTATCTAGAATTAAACAAGTAGAGGACATAATCTGTACTTCATAATGCTGCTGTTTATTTCTCCTGTACCACTTGTTCTAAAACCTTGCTGCTTAGTCCAATGATAACTTGAGGGAAGTGGCGTCTTACCTAAGGCAAAAATCACAATGATTTCTTTGTTCAGGTGATATTTGAACAAACTCACTTTCTAACCTCCCTAGGGCTCATCATGGTTCCAATGGTCTCCAAGCCCCATCTACTTTTGAAGGTCAGGACATTTATGATGTATTAATGATGAGATTGTTTTATGTTTCCTGTGAATGCTAGGATCTGGAGGAAGTCTATTTTCCTCAAAGAACTCCCTTAAGCTCAGGTCACAGGAAGCCTTACTTTAGTCCTCCTTATCCTTCTCTCCAACAAGTAAAAGTTATGTGTGAGGGGATCTGGAGGTTCACAATGCACAGAAAGAATCCCAGGCAGGATCTGCAATACCAGACCTCTAACCTGACTGCCTCTCACTTGTGGGTTCCCAGTTTCCGAAGAGACTAGTGCAGTCTCTTCTGGCTCTGATTTTCTCTAAGTTGAGTATTTTCAAGTCCCAAGATATCATCCTTCCATGTCAATTTTCTTGGTATGCTACATTTTGTTTTAAATAAAAGAAATATTAACTTCAAAACTGGAGTACAATTAGCAACATAATCTTGGGGAAGGCTCTTATAGTTAAGGTTTCTAGGCAATGAAAGAATCAATCATAGCATTGATCCGAATTCCAGTAACCTTGGCATTGCTTTTTTTGTACTTCTGTTCTCTAGAAATTTTCTTAAAAGTCCAAAACCTTACGAACCTTACAAGAAAAACATTACTACTGTCATTTTAAAAGACATAGATATTGGATCCGAAGGTAGGGGTCTAAAAGCTAGTAAAAAATAAAAACTAGTTTGTTTTGTTTTTTCCAATAGATTTTTTTTTATTATGAAAATACCGTACAGAGGGGTTACA